AGAGTACAAACAGAGATTATCATCAGGAATCTGAATTTTGAAAATAACCCTTTTTAATCAAGGTCATGATAATAATAATAATAATAATAATAATAATAATAATAATAATAATAATAATGACAGTAATAGATTTAATTTAAGTACACATGTACTTTTACATGTACATCTGATAGTATCATCAGATGCAATTCTATCAGTGCAAAGGCAAAAAAGGCTTAGAATGTGTCCATAAATATATGTATAAAAAGTTTATAAATGAGCAACCTCTATACTTGCTACCTCTCTACTCAACTTAAAAGGAAGATAAAACACGCATCATACTTCACACATCACACAAGACATTTTGCATTCTCCAGGCATTCAGCTTGCATAGCTCTCTGTCTTCACAAAATTGCAAAGTTCCAGCAGCATTTTTTGCTGTTAAAGCTTTTGCATAAAAGCTATTTTTAAATCTTTTTGTCCTTGTTTTTAATGTCCTGAAACATCTGCTCGAGGGCAGCAGTTCAAACAGAAAGTGTCCGAGGTGGGATGGATGTTTCAGGATGCTCTTTCCTTCTATGAGGTACCGGGAACTGTAAAGCTCTTCCAGGGAGGAGAGAGGTGATCTTCTGTGATCACCCTCTGAAAGCGCTTTTCTCTCTTCTACTGTGCAGCTGGGAAACCACTCTCTACTTCTCTGAGCAGTGATAGAAGGACATAAGCAGATTTTTGAGTGAGGCAAAGTCTCTGCTTTGCCTTCTTCCAGGTCAGCTCCTCTTCTGCTTGGATGCCCAGGAATCAGTCCAATAATTTATCCACACATGAAATGAAAATGGTCTGAATATCAATTTTCTACCTCTTGTAGTCAATAATCAACACCTTGGTCTTGGTGGTGTTAATGATCAGGTTGTTATCACTACGACAACCAGATAAATACTCCACCTCCACCTAATAAGCAGACTCATCACTCCCTTAGATGAGCCCCATTAAAGTGGTGTCATCTGGAAATTTAATGAGGTTGTTGCTGGAATGGGTGGGGGTGCAGTTGTGAGTATAGAGGATGAAGAGTAGGGACTCAGCACACATCCCTGTGAAGAGCCGGTGCTGAGACTGAGGGCTGAGAACTTGTAGCAGCCTACTCTCACCTTTTGGGAGTCAAAGAGACAGAAAGTCAGACCAGAAGTGACGGACACTCTGTCAGTTTTGTCACCAGTTTGTGAGGGAGGTTGAAATCTACAAAGAGCAGCCTCGTGTAGCTCAGGACAACAGTAAGGAGTGTTGTGGTTATGGTGTCCTCTGTAGGCCTGGTAGCTCTGTAAACCTCATTCCTCAGCATGGACCAGAAATTCAAAATGGTGTGAGAGAGTTGAGTAATAAATGAAAAGGAAAGTCATGAAATGAGTAAGGGATTCTGATGATGTTGCAAGACTAAAAAGACTGAGGAAGAAAGAAATGTTAGAGAGGGCATTTAGGCTACTCATCACAGCAGGATAAACTACTTACCCAAGCACGACTCACGGCATGAAATCGGAATGACTTGAGGGCAACATGGAGAATGGAGCAGTAATAAATAACAGAAAATGTCAGTGCAGAGAGAAGTTCCAGTGAAAGAACAGGCATCAAAGAACAAAAAGAATGATGGAGAAGAAAAGCAACCCCGAAAAGCCATGAAAAAGTGGACTTCAAGTAGTGTGAGTATTCACGAAGAAGACTCACAAAAGAATCAGGAGGCCAAATGCGTCATCACAGACGTCATCACAATCAAAATGAAGACTCACACAAGATGAACAACAGAGGATGACATTACAGGCTGGAATGAACACAAAAAGACAGGAACAAAAAAAACAATACCAAAAATTACCAGTGGTTATAAAAGTAGTTCAAAAGAAAAATCCCTGTTTCACTCTTTTCTTCAAGAGCCAACATATCATAATATCTCAGTTAGATCCATCCATGCAGTGCAAAATATGTGCATTTGAAAGGCAAATAGGGCCAGTGAAAGACACTGAGGTCAATACATTTGTGCTACAATAAAGAAAAAATTAAGACCAGACTAGAACTCTACATAAAGTAGGGAGGTAACCTTTCTATAGTAAACCTAAAGAGACCAGCCCTCCTTGAAATTATTTCAGGAATCAGTCCAACTCTAATCTGAATAAAAAAGTGATGCAACTAAGCTTGTTGACCCATACTGGGAAAACAATAAGCATAGTTGTGCAACACATGAAAAAGAAGAAGAAAAAAAACAACAACATATTTACAGCAGATAATGCACATAATGTTTCCTCTGAGAGTGTAAAAGCTCATTTGACAAATGCATCTGTTTAAAATGTGCGGTCTTCCCAGTCTGTAAAATGCTAACAAATGCAAAGTGCCACACTACACAAATCTACACTAGGATAACAGCTGGTCACCACTATATAATGCAAATAAGAGAAATCACTGTCAGCTACTTAGAAAGGGAAGGTAGAAAAGGATATCACAATGCGTTACACGCACACAAAAACTCAAAGACACTGCCGATTGCTGAATTTCCTGAATGAGAGAACAAGTGAAGCAGTATCAGAAGCATGCAGGGGTCCTAAACAATCAAGCACACTGTAGGGGCTGTAAAGACTGGGGGCAGGTATAATGGAGTCATGCAGGTGTCCAGAGCAGGGAAATGGACTAAAACAGGCTTGGTACTCTAAGACTGGAACCAGAGCCAGCAAGGCTGCAGGGCAATGAGGTAAGCAAATAATTCCCAGAAATAATCTTACAGGTTGCAAAACTCAGTGACTCCTTCACCTAAAATTGTCTACTCACTCGGACACTGTGTTAATATGTAAACCCAACACCAACAATGTCCTGGTTTAACTCAAGGCAGTATAGAAGAAAAACAATCTAAGATTCCCAACATGAAAGAGACAGAAAAAGGTAGATACTGAAGAAAGAAGAAATACTGACACAAATGTTGGCTGGACTCCTTTCACATTTATGTAATTATGGAAGGTTTTGAGAGAGTTACAGGGATAGTTGGGAGAGAATAATATAGACACTTGCACACAGACTACTGATCAGGAGTTTTGATAACCTTTTGCTATTAGGAGTCATTTTTCCCATTCTGAGGGAATTTGGTAAGATATATGACTGATGGTCCATGTAAGCTGTGGGAGGGACGCCATTTTCTGTGTAGATTGAAACTGTGGACCCACGCACTCATTTACTAACCCACCCACCCATTCATTCATTCACCCATCTATCCATCCATCGTAGGAGCAGCAGCCTAAACAGAGAGGCCCAGACCTCTCCCTCCCCAGCTATATTCTCCAAATTATCTGGTGGAACACTGAGGCGTTCCCAGGCCAGCCAAGAGATATAATCTCTCCAGCACGTCCCGAGTCTACCCTGGGGTCTCTTCTCAGTCACGCATGCCTGGAACACCCAGGAGGCACCTTTGTAAGATGCTCGAACCACCCCCCTTTGACGTGGATTAGTAGCTCTAACATTTTAACCCATCTTTGAGAAGTTACTGTTGAATTATTAAACTATAAATTCTGAGAAGGTAGAAGCAACGGAGGTCAGGGACCTTTTTTAGGACAACGTTTGTCTCTCTGCATCATGAAGGCTGGGCACACACTGTCAGTAACAAATTTTGCACTTACAAAACCCGAACATTCATTCATGATTAATGCTAATTAAAATGAAGTCTTCTTACAGTCTGAAACTACTAAGCACTTCCCAGTGCAATAAAAATATTTGAATATTTGAGAGGAAGAATTAAGAAACACTGGGGGGGGGGTGCAGTCAGAGCATTTAACAGCTTAAAATAGAGTGATTTTCTCAAATGCCTCAGTGATTACAGTTTTATTGTTCATAATCTTGTTGAGCAATGCCCTTTGCACATGCAGATCAACTGAATATGCTGTGGCTGCTGGAAGACTTGCTGAATAGAGGCCGATTAGAGGCTGATTTCCACCCTGTGATACACAGAACTTCACAGTTTGAGACCTTGAGAACTCATCACAGCCAAGGCAAGTTTTCCATTAGTACTCATATTACCGGATTGTTTATCTCAAATTACTCCATCTGTTCATGACCAGTTCTTGAAGAAATATCCAAGAACATCATGTTTTGTACAGCATAAAAGGATATCCAAGCAGACTGTCTTCAGACAAACTTTAGACTAAGCAATCTTAGGGTCATGTTGACGATATGATTAAACACAATTTTCAACCTTAGCCTCTGCATTACTAGAAATTTTCATATGATTATTGTTTTTATTTTTCCAAAAGGAGATCAAATGTTAAATCAGAGTAATCCTCAGTTTTATAAATACTGCTAGGTGACCTAACCATGTGATTCGCGTACAGGTACACCATGTTGGTACCGGGCTGGGCCCCTTTTGTCTTGAGAAATGCTTTAATTCATAATGACACACATTCAGCAACATGCTGGAAACGTTCCTCACAGATTCTGGTCCATATTGACCTGACAGCATCACACAGTTGATGCAGATTTGTTGGCTACACATTAACGATGCAGGTCTCACATTCCACCACATCACAAAGGTGCTCTGTTGGACTGAGGTCAGATTCCTGTTTACATCTGACAGGAATGGCCCCCGGTGTGGTCGTCTGCTGCAGTAGCCCATCTGCTTTAAGCTTTAATATGCTGTTCATTCAGAGATGCTCTTCTGCACACCTTGGTTATAATGAGTGGTTATCTGACTTCCTGTTGGCTTCCTATCAGCTTAAAGCAGTCTGGCCATTCTCCTTTGACATCACCAAAAGCAAATGTTTTAAACAAGCTTTAGTAAATTAATGTCAAGATTAATTTTAAGATGATGAAGAAGACCATGTACACTTAAATTTCAGTACTGCGTACAGACATTAGATGAAATTAAGCCTACAGAAAAATATTCCAGGATATAAATTAAGATTTAAAAAACAAGAACAACTGCTTCTTCAGGAAAGGAAAACTAATCTTTAAAACGCGCTATAATCTGATCAGAAACTAAATAAGGTAGCAGACAGTGTTTGTATTAATTCATGGTTTTATTTTATTTTTCAAATTTATTTAAGCAGTAAAAATACTCAGTACAGTGTTCAGTGTCTTAACAGTTAATAGTGTGAGCTACTTAAAGTGCACATGGGAATTAGCAGTAAACTTTGACAGTAAGCTCTACAGAGAGAAATCAACTCGAGTTTCACCATGAAATGCAACAAGTCTGGTATGCTGGCAGGATTACACATTTATCAAAGTTATTTCCAGAAGAAAGATGACAGGCATGACCAGATATATACAAGATATCCTTTAAACTCACATGAAACAAATGTCTAAATTTATCGATCATCTAAAAACTACAAAGTCTTTCCAAACTGAATCCTTTAGCTGAGAGAGCTAAATATTTCAAAGATTTCAAAGATTTTCCTTCCCTCAAATCATTAATTTTATTGGGTGATGAAATATTTGAAATCTAAAGTGTTCCTCCACACTTTACAGCAAAAGTATTCCAGTTGCATTAACGTAACCAATACATCTATAAAGTGATATTTCTAATGTGGACGAGCTGTGAATAAACAGGTCTGATTAAGTGCAGCAAGAATACAGTGATGCCTGCAAAGCTACCTAAGCAGCTTTCTTCATAGCGGTCAAGGACATGAGGATACTTGGCTTCTCTTCTATGACTCGCACAAGTAAATTATCAATGTACTGCTCCAGCTCCGATATCTTATAATCTCTCTCCGAGAGCTGGTTCTCCTGTTTCAAGATCAGAGAGATCAGTTCCTCCCGGGTCAGCTGGGAGTAAGGCCCTTTCATCCCACTGTCATCCACCTGTGGAGCGACAAAGCATGCTTTAAAAGTGCCAGGATATAAGAAACTTAAATTCCATCGGCCTATTTCTTGTTGAAAATCTTAAAAAGGGAGAGAGAGTTAGAAACAAATACCGTTGTTTTGTCCTGAAGTCCACTGGGGATTCCTGTGGATTTGTTTTCATTTTCCTCTTGAACAACTGAGGCACCCTGCTGCTCAAGTGGATTAAGAGGTCTTACCGGCTGAAGCCTGAAATGATGAAAACAAAGCATAAAAGACAGACGCAAGCACCTGTTGAATGGGAGTAAAGGAAACCGTATAACCAAGTACACTGCGCAGTAATCCATTCAACAATTAAACTGAACATAATACCCAATAATAAAACTCAGTTCACCCATATCAAGCTTACTATACTGTACAGAATACATTGAACATTTGTGTAAGTGAAAGCTAATAAGATTGAATGTTGCAAATTACACAAATGAAACGTGCGTACAGATAAAAATATAAATATAGTAACATTTGACCTATAAAAGTTATTCTTTAGCAACCAAACCATCTCACCTGCGTGAAGGTGTAGGGGCCCAGTCTTTCTTCACATCTGTCTCCACTATATTCTGGACTTTAAGGGACTGGGACTCTTGGAGTGGACTCACTGGGACATGCCCAGGACTTGTGGACTCATAATACAGGTCGCATGCTTGGAGTGCATCGTTATCGGGCGCAGCTGCACTTCGATCACCTGTAGCATGGCTTCTTTCCGTGCCCGGGTTCGTTAAAGTGTTCGAGCTGATGTCATTCTTTGCAGGAGGTGGGGGAGCGTGGGCCGTCTTTGAGGATTTGATTTTTGGTTGAGAGGCAGCATCTTTATCTGCACTTTGTGACACAGCTGCAGGCCAGTGTATTGAACCAGTATTACTAGAGACTGCTGTGTCATCTTGAGCTGTGAGCTCACTTTCATCTTCATCATCCTCAAAAGGATTTAAGCCACAAACAACTTTAACTTGTTTGGTCTCTGCGCCGCCTAGATTAGAGCTCGTTTTTGGTTCTGATGACTGCTTTTCTCCCACAGGAGGAGGTACGGACGGCGCAGGACGTTTGCTGTGTTTGGCTTCGTTTGTTGTTCCATTAGCGTTATTGCTTTGCATCAGGCTCTGGGAGTTCTTTGAATCTGTGGGAGACCTACACAGCGGAGCGATCATTTGCACCGAGCGCTGTGGGGGAACACTGACAGTTTTGACATCTTTGTCTTTGCTTTGCTTGTTAATTTGTGCCAGATGTCGTGCCGGCACATCCTGCTCCCTGTGAGGCTGCTTGCCAGCTTGACTCCTTACTGGCGGCTGAGGAGCTGCTCGCTTCTCCCGTTGAGTACTAATCAGGTCCTTTTCATCCACAGAACCGGTCTTACTTCTCACCGATGACACGGCAGAGTGACACCTGGAAATGAGACAGACTATATAACATTTGGGCATACGTCAGCATTTAATTACAGGAATTCAACTGAGGGTTGGTAGGCGTGGGGGGCTAAACACACTAATGATGCAAGTAATATAGATTGATATAATAGGACTTTATTTTTCACAATATTAAAGATACCTTGTCCCAAATTCTCTTGCAATGTTATAGGACAACCAAAAGAAAGTGAAAAGGTAACATAAGATATTGAGATACTATTATAAAAGGAAATGTATTTTAATGTGCTGAGCACATCTGAAGTTTCTTTCCATCTACTTCTTCTGTCAAACTGACTTCTTCACAAAGTTTCTAGTATTTTTCACTTCACATAATGAGGTAAAACTATGCAGTGAGCTCAATCTTTCAGCCCAGTCTGCAAAATTATATAAACTGTAACGCACACATAGCTGTGCAACAGTCACATGTGTCACTTATGTTCCCATTACTCTGCCTCCTGACATCTGACCCATGTTAACACACACACACACACACACAAGCCTCTTAACTGCACTACTGTATAGTTCTGTGTAAATAATCATACGATAACTTTTAATTCTACAACTGTTTACAACTTGCATAGTTCCCATTTCTGTATAGCTGTATATCTCATATTTCTGTATACTTTTTTATTTCATATTCTGTGTAGTTTTTTTTTTTCATATTTATATCCTGTTCATAGCCTGTACATACTTATAGTTATAGCATATTCATAACATATTACATACCATAATAGACCCATTCTGTAATATACTTACATATCTATATTATTGCTAATATATATTGTAATATAGCTATATCATGGCTAAAGCACTTCTGGATGGATGCAAACTGCATTTCGTTGCCCTGTACCTGTGACATGTGCAATGACAATAAAGTTGAATTCTATGCTATTCTATTCTATTAAATAGAGAAGTACTGAGAAGAACTGCTGCTGACCTGTGACGGAGCAAAAGCACATAAGGTAACTTCAGATAACACATTCCCTGCATGTACATCATCGTTGTGTTGTTTTTAAATCAACCATTATAATTCAGCTCCACTACCTCCTTTTCTCTTCTGCTCCTGATGCTGTCCTGTTCTGCTTTTAAGCCTGGTCAACCGTGCACATTATGTAATGCTTAACAATGTCAGGCGGTCTAACACTTTAGTTGAGGAAAGGTCTACAGAGGTTCAATGTGACTACCTTGGGTTGATCACTAAGCCTTTTAAGCGTTACCAGCACAGGGCAGTTTCTCTTAAAAGGAAAAGCATTTTAACGTCTGAATTCATTTGCACAAACTTTTTTTGTCGAAGTGTTAATATTCCCGGAGGACACTACAAAGATTTCAATTTTCCTTTGACATTTCCTCCAGCCTTGCCTGAAACCTGTGGTTCTAATTTGTTTTACAACAGCTTTGGAAGGACTTTAATGCACCACTTTGAAAAGGAAAAAAATAAATAAATAAATGAATTGGAAAGAGTGACCTGAATCGCTAAAATCAGGTTTGATTTGCCAACTTTTTACATTCGTGACCAGAAAAAACAAAAAAAAAAACAAAATTCCATTGTCTTTATCCACAATTGTACTTGGTACTGAGTGCTATGGAGAAAATGCTAAACAAAGACTGAGAACCTTTAAATTCCATCCACCTTGAGCTGTTGTCTGGTCGTTTTAAAATTACATTAACAAAATTGTTTAAATGCACTGTAAATAAACTCCGTCTGTAAAGTCAGAGGTTCTCGAGAGCTAAGGAGGTTGTATGTATACATGTATGAATGAATTCAAGTATTTCAAGGTAAGACTATTAAATCACACTTTTACTGCAGTGCTTGTGATTGACGTAGCGTATAGCTTTAACTAACCGTTGCTGAACCGTTGGCTCTTCAGCTGTGCTGCTGTCGAGGGACTTGGGAATCTCCTCAAAGGGGTTGGAAGAGAAGGTTTCATCAAAAGGATTAGTGGAAGTGACTGCAGGACTGCTCACTTTGGGTTTCTTCCCTGCAGCCCTAACTTCATCTGTTGTTTTGTTTCCCCTCTTCTCTTGCTCTTCTGCATTCCTCAACTTCTCCAGCTTCCTTGCCTCCTCTTCCTTCTTCTCTCTCCTAATCCTCTCCTCTTCCTCAATCCTCCACTTTTCTTGTTCCTGCAGTCTTCTCTCTTCCTCCAGCCTCTCCATTTCTTCCTTTTCCTTTCTAGTCCTCTCTTCTTCCTCTTTTCTCCTCTTCATCTCTTCCTCCATCCTAACCCTTTCCTCTTCTTCCCTTCTAATTCTTTCCTCTTCCTCAAGTCTTCTTTGTTCTTCTTGTTGCATTTTTTCCTCTAACAGTCTTTCATATTCTTCTCTTTGCTTCCTAGCCCTCTCCTCATCCTCCCGTCTCTTCTCCTCCTCTTTCCTAAGTCTTTCCTCTTCAGCTCTTTGATTTTCTTGTTCTTCTAGTCTCCTTTTTTCCTCTTTTTCCATCCTGATCCTTTCTTGTCGTCTAATTTTCTCCTCTGCCTCAATCCGTTTCCTCTCCTCCTCTAATCTCTCATGTTCTTCCCTTTCTTTCTTAGCCCGTTCCTCCACTTCTTGCCTTTTCTTCTCTTCCTCTTTCCTAACCCTCTCTTCTTCCTCCCTTTGCTTCCTTTCCTGCTCCAACTGTATCCTTTTTTTCTTTTGCTCTTCTTCTAGTTTTTTCAGCAGCTCCTCCTCCTCTTTTTGTCTCCTCTCTTCCTCCTCATTTTCCTTTCTAATCCTCTCTTCTTCCTCAGCTATTTTTGCCTCTTCTAGCCTTCTCCTCTCTTCTTGTGCCCTCTTCTCTTCCTCAAGTCTCTTTTCCTCTGCCAGTTTTTGCTCTTCTTGCCTTCTCTTTTCCTCCATCTTAACCCTCTCCTCCTCTTCTAGTCTCTTCTTCTCTTCCTCAATTCTAATCCTTTCCTCTTCATCTCTTTGCTTTCTTCTTTCCTCCTCAAGTTTCCTTCTCTCTACTTCTTTCAGTCTCTTTTCCTCAGCTATTTTTGCCTCTTCTTGCCGTCTCCTCTCTTCCTGTGCCCTCATCTCTTCCTCAAGTCTCTTTTCCTCTGCCAGTTTTTGCTCTTCTTGCCTTCTCTCTTCCATCTTAACCCTCTCCTCTTCTTCTAACCTCTTCTTCTCTGCCTCAATTCTAATCCTTTCCTCTTCGTCCCTTTTCTTCTTTTCTTCCTCCTCTATCTTCCTTCTCTCTAGGACTTGTAGTCTCTTTTCCTCTGCCAATCTTTCACGCTCTTCTTCCATCCTAACCCTTTCCTCTTGCTCTTGTCTTCTCTTTTCTTCCTCACTTCTAATATTTTCCTCTTCTTTACTCCTTGTCTCCTCTTCCTCTTGTTTTTCTCTGTCCTCAGCTAAACTTTCAAGCCTCTCTTGTTGCCTCTTAACCTTCTCTTCTTTCGTCTCCTCCTCTATTATAGTCCTTTCTAAATCACTCACATTCGCTTTAACGTTTTCAACTTCAGGAGTGTCTTCCTCCTCCTTCTCATCCTCTTCCCAAGGTGAACACTGCCTCGCTGCCTTTTGTTGCTCAGGTGGTGGAGAGTTTTCAGGGACATCCTCCATTGATCCATGACCTGAACTGGCCAGACTGAAGTTTGAGCTGATGCGAGAAGTCCGAGATGGCGGCTCCTCACAGTATACGTGACTGCCATTGATGCATAAATTACTCTGTTCTACAGAAACCTGTTTTTCACGACCAGATGATGAATCCTTGCTGCCTGAGCTGCCTGAGCGTTTATGTATCATGAACTTGAACTTCTTTTTACCTGAAAAGAAGATGAGAGCATTAACACAACATAATGAAAGAGGAAAGCATTAATGGTGAATAAGTACATTCCTGACCCTCTGAGGAATCGACATTCAGACCAGATGATTGGCTGCCGGTGAGCGTGGAGTTCTTCCCAGGCAGAACAGACATAGACTGAGACATGCTCTTCTGCAAGTTGGACTTTGGAGAAAACAAAGACTTAATCTTGTGTTTCTTCTGTTTTCCATCCTTGCCCGTCGCCTCTTCACCATCCCCGGTGCCCTCCTCCTCGCTGTCCGTCAGGACCTGACTGAAAGACGGCGCCACGCTGGTCACAGAATCTGACTCCTTTTTCTTGCCACGAACTTTGTCCTTGAACTTGCCCAGACGAGACCGAGATTTGCCAGCAGCAGAAAGGTCGAACATGCTGGCAGTCATGTTGTTTCTCATGAACTGGATATCCAGAAGCACCTCTCCTCTGTCTTTGTCTGGCTTACCAGTCTTATCAAGAAGTTTAAACCATCTGTTGAAGAGACACAAATTATTAGAGTTTTGTACTTATTTACACATCCACTGTATAAAAGTGCAAATCAAATATCTAGAAATATGTGGTCGTTTTAGAGGTGGGGTGCAATCACAAAATCAAGCTACTTGTGACCAAAATCTATCACTCAATCTATAAGTCAAGTGAGGCCTGTCTGAAGGTCCAAACTGAATGTCTCTGTAATGATCATAAAGATCAAATGCACCACAAACCCCTTGTAACAAAAGAAATTAATACTGATCACGATCTAAATGATTTAAACAAATGAGAGTCACCAAGACTTGGACTCATTTATAGTAATGTGAATGTCTAGTCCTGCTCATTTTTCCTCTTTGCAGAAATCATGACTCATCTCACTGCAAATGGAAAGTGGCAGCGTGAATGTTTTTGGAAAGTCTGTGATGATCTAAGCTCAACCAGCGAACTGACCATAAAGGAAAGTCTTAAAAATATAAATTCTGTCAAGTCTACAGCAGCCCTGCAGAATTTATGAAAGCTTGTACTGTGTGTACCCTCAGCAGTTGACAACCTTTATTAAATCCTGTTCCCTTGTTGCTTGTCTCACATGATCAAATCTTCAGAGCATGGTAGGTGTACGGTGCTGCAAAATGTTTTATGCCAGTTTTCCTAAATAATGCAACCAACCCTGCAGGGAGTTAACAAGCCAACTGCCCCTTTGAAAGAGAAAGCTTTCATCCGAGATTTAGTCGGATCCTTGCGAAACTTAGCCTGCCAGGTTCAAGGGAATTTATTCTGTTATTACCCCCC